ATCCATCTAAAATAGAAAACAATCAGGCTGATTAGGTAGCGTGGTGGCACAGTGCCCAAAAGTCGGCTATGAACTCAAACAGATGCTGTGTTCGAATCCGCACAAGATACAACCTTCGTATTATCGTGAATTCCCTTCAACAAGGAATTATACCCACGTTGTTGCGGCCCTACCAGCTGAGAAATTGGTAGTAAGTCAGCGGAAAAAGACCAATAGGGACAGCATAGCACTGTGGTTTGGTCACGCCAGAATAGACGAGATGTATGGCAATGGTGCATGATGTAAACGTTCCTTGTGACTGCCCTTCGCCTTGACCCACCCAAGGGGGCTGACCATCTGGTGTAATAATGAGCACAAGGTGCAATTAGATTAGCGAACATGTTACAAAGGACCACACAGAGAAGAACCGAAGCAGAAGTACACACCGTCGTAACACGCTTATGATATTTCGGGGGATGGGGCAAAAATACGAGAAAGTGAAATCAAAAGCACAAACTGTTTCCTATTTGCCCATTCCCTTCCCGCCTCAAACTTTTGGCACCCAAGCAACCAGAGCCCTAGCCACATTAACCATATCAAGTGTATTAATTTTAGCAACAACTGCCAATATCAGCGCAAAACAGTCTCATCACATGCAAATCGAAACTTTACAAAGGTTAGAAAAAATAAAAACAGAAATTCTCAATGCCTCGGGAATAGTCTGTTTATTGTCAACTTGCGCCATTTTGCCTGCTGCCAAAGAAAGTGGTGACAACTAACAGATCAGCTCGGGCCGATATGGCTCATTACGGATTGGAACGTTTGGCGTTAAATCGACTCAGAATCGGTAGATGCTCATAAGCCGGATGAAATGAAAGCTGTGCGGGGAAGATGTTTAAGTCAGCCATCGAATTTTGCCCCAAAAGAGGCCGTATCGAGTATCGTTACTTGATCGAATATTTCGTCAGGAGGCGGTTCTGGCTATACGACAAGTTACCATCACTGTTGTTCCTCCCAAAAGCCAAGGTCTAAAGTCTTTTCTCCGTAAGCCAGGAAAGATAAAGGAAAACGAGAGTGAAAAATATGGCATATTGGGCAGCTGCTATAAAAACGTTAACTGCTTCTTAGGACAAGGGGATGCGTAAACTCATAATCACTTGCACACCTTAGAAAACACTGAGGGACGGTGGCACAGCGGTAACGAGTAGGCATTGAAAGCGGTATCGAGCTGGAGCGCCAAGATATGATACAATTTCACTTAACGGCTAATTTTCGGTGGCATTTTGACTTTGTCAACCTGACAATTGATTGTACAGTGTGGTAATCACTACAAGGAGTACAACTAGAAGAAAAAAATAAACCAAACTGACAGAAAGAGATCAGACCGGTTCAACCGTATTTTCTTTCGTATTAAATGCTCAAAAATAACATGGTGGTGGTGCAGAGCAATTATTCACGGGTCACGGCGATTGGATGGTGAATTAAAACCGTTAGTCCCTCTGGCCTAATGTTTATGGATGAGATATATACGATTGTTCACATTTACTATAAGAGCACTTGCCGTCTGTCCTGTAATTTGGATGGATCACGTTCTCTTGGATGGCTAAAATACTGGATGGACGTCACCCATAAAATTCATAAATGTACGCCATTATGCAACGGCGAGATGAAAGATTAATGAGGTTGTTTCGCACTGCCAGTGAACAACGCTGAAATGGAACAACAAACCAGAGTCTGTGTGAGAGACAACGTTCTATCCAATTCATCAACACACGGTGGACGGCATCCGTTGCATAATAACACATGATGAGGAAACGTTTACTGATATGGATCTAGCAGAATCTCCCAAATCCCTTAGAATCGAATATTAGAATGCTTAAAACAATCGAGCAGCCCTGTACGTCACTCTGTATCATCAGGCGTGCAACAATTTGTCTTGAGCAAGTTATGCTGTGCGTTACGCCTCCCTGAAGCAGTGCAAAGGCCGCTACTATCCATTTTCAGGTGAAAACGCAGTACAGAAAAGAATCAGCGTGGGCAGAGCGTCACCATACAATAACATCCAAAGTCTGCCGTGAGTTTCTAATCAACAAAGAAATTTCTCAATAAAAACATCATAATTAAAACACTATAAACAAATAAGAAGAGGGAAATATCACAAAGAATACTGCAGAGTTAAAGGCCACATGCGGAATAAGCTCACTACTCAGTGAACATACTCCAAAGCCAGTAACCGTCTTATGGGAAGAAATGGAAGCCACTACCAGGGAAAAGCAGCAACTCACTAGGAAAGGACAGTTGCCGATCTAAGATCAGGGAAGAGTTGTCGATTTGTATCAACTGCGACCGTGGATTAAACCTGATCACTTTCACCAAACGATTCGCAGAGACTAGGAACAAGTGTCGTATTATCAACCATGAACGATCAGCACGACTGGCAGGACATTACGCGGTGTTGGTACCATTGCTATTTTAATATCATCGCTGACACACAGACGGTACTAGCACTGACTGGTACGACAGTAAAATCGCTTATGGACTAAAACCTTGATCTGGCAAACAAAATAGTTCGCCTCATTTTTTTGCCTTGTGATATAACCAATCATAACATCAGTTCTAGCATACAGAAATGCAATATATTAGATGCAATATATGCATAATATATTTAACGTAAACAGTTATTTAACGTAAACACATGAGCCGTCTGTGTACGTCGTGTGTGCAAATTTTCAACACTTTATTAAAACGCACTGGTTACTACTTCCCCAAAGGAAAAAATGTTCCTCCCTGAAAACAGATCTGCCTTTACCTTGTTACTCCATGTTACATCGTGGCCTCCTGGACAAAATCTGCCATGTTTTGGCTGCCAGAGGAGAAGTAAAGGGTTGGTACAGACGGTGTATTTATGCTGAACCGATTTGTCTTACAGGGTCAAGCATCTCCACACCGACTGGTTTGCCGTATGTTTCAATTCCGGAAGCACCAGCGCGACTAAGCTAGTATCCTTCTCAAATTAAACGCTGAGTGTTACGCAACTGGTCAGTAAGCCTGTGGCGAGCATACTCCAATGACCTTGTTGGCGAACGTTTAAACGCCTTAGTGTCATACGTACAAGTGCAGGATCCCAACCGCTCTACCTAATTTTCACTGTCAGGTCATCAGCAGCGAGAAGGGTAGATGAACATCGATAACGAATCATTGTTCACTGGATTTTTGAAATTATAAATCAACAAACTCCATATTCATTCAGTTCTTCGATCAGAATAAGGAACAGGTCGAAACGTTTATTAGGAATGGACATACTATACTATAGTGCACTCCTGTGTTCAGGATTCCCTACTGATTAATGCTGCTTATAGATATGTAGCCGTTTTCAGAGCTCAACAATATCAGAACAGCATTTACCTCATAGCAAGCAGGGGCGGATGCTTTTTTGACACGACTCAGCATGTCAGCCACCTGGATCACATTCGAGTTCAGGTTGGTGACGATATTGCGCCAAGCGTAGAGCACGTTAATCCTGTTGGACACGACTGAGTTCAGCGCCTCGCCTACATCTTGCTGCATCGCCCTGAGGCTCGGATACAGCGACGCAAGCTTTTCGTACTCTCCTAGCAGATCGTCGACTTCTTTCAAGGCAGCGCGTTGAACTCTGAGGTAAGCACTATCGACAGCTTTGATGGATGTCACCATCTGGCAACGACGCGGCGGTTCTGCCAGATCGGTCAGCGAATTACTGTGTTGACAACGTGGTCCGGGTTCATTTTCACCCAAATCAAATCTGGCGTCCAGTGAACCTGGCAAACGTGCAACGATGCCATCGTCGCTGGAGGCGGAAGACAGAACAGCGTTGCCG